GATCCCCGTCTCCAGTGTACCAGCAGAGAACCTGCAGAACCGAATCAGCGAAAAAACACACAGAGCTACAAAGCCTCTCAACCTGAGCAGCTAAAGCTGCGGCTCGCACCCTCGACACACAGACACACAGACGGTGCTTCTGCATGCCAGCCACACGTGTGCGCAACTGTGAGAAATAAATGTGAGGTGTACGCTGCTTTTCTATCTTTTTTTATTTTTCTTTCTTTCTTTCTTTCTTTCTTTCTTTCAGCGACATACACTCCTAACACAGGACGGGTTGTTTTAATTGACTGAGTTGATCATTAAGCCATAGTGATGCACGGATCGGCTCTGATAGCACCCGAATCAGCATATACGCATCAAACATCCAGCCGTTACAACATGATTGAGCTAGCAAAGCAGTTTTGTGTTGCTATGTGTGGTATTTATTCAGTTTTGGGAAATCACGATGTCTAGAAAGCATCAGTGGCTGCAGCTGACAGGGACAGCTAACGTTAACACTAGCAGCAAAGCTAACATCAGGATCGTCATCCGTTAAAAGCCTCCCGTTGTCGGATACGACATGAAACTATTCCAATTAGCTCAATCATGTTTAACTAAGACATCCGCTGGAGAAAATTTTTTTTTCACGGGCCACTTTGTGAGTTTAGTGAGTTATTACAGACACGGCTAATGGCTAACAGCTAACGGTTAGCCCAGCTAATCTACGATAACCATGTTATTAATTACACACAGAGAAAATACTAATGTTTGTTCAGTCATTGTGTTTATAGACTTTACAAACATCAGATTAGTCTAAACGGTGATATAGTGACGTGAAAAATGTGATATATACATATATATATAGCTAAACTCAGCAAGGTAAACAACAAGGGGATTCCCATTTACACAGTGGTAAGAGTGCTGGACCGAAGTGTCGCACAAAAAAAAAGGAAGCTGGCCGCGTTCTGTTTTGCCTCCGTGTTTCCGTGAAAAATAAGGTGGATAGGGGCGAGGGAATAAAACCTGAACAGCCAATCAGGGTGATCTCTCTCACCGACAAGCTCTGCTGCCAATTCAACATGCTCAATCAGCCGAAAATCCGCCAACGCCAAAGTGCCGACGGTGCAGGACACACCGCAAAAACTAGGGCAACAGACGCTCACCGACGGCCCGACTTTGGTCGACAACCGATTGTCGGCTTGGTGTGTCAGGGCCTTAAGGGTAGCAACCTCTCGTTTGATTCTTGACAGTTCTCGGCTTGATAATGTTCAACAAGCTTTATATACTCTGGTTTTCTCCCATCCTGACTATTTTGGACATATCTTTTTATGGTTCTGTGGTCATGCTGCAATTTCTTGGCTATATCATTTGTAGACTCCCCCTTGCTCAGACTCTTTTCCTCTTTGGTCAGGTCACTTTTCTTGCCCATGGTCAAAGTTGAACAGGACTTGCATAATAATGTGGCACACTTATATACATATGGTCTGTGATAAAGGATATTGGAAAGCTTTGTAGATTCAAACAAAAAGGGTTATGTTAAAGAACAAGGCCTGACATACATCATACTAAAACATCTTTTTTTTGAACAGCAGCCTTCCAGATTTTCAAGAAAAGATCACTTGCATAACAATTTGGCATGCAGTGTAGTGGTTTAGGTGTCACAATGTTGTTTTAAATGACTGTTTACAGAGGGTTAGAGCATTAGATAGAAAAAGCCTTTTGACCTCTGACCTCTCTTCCTCTAGCAGCTTGAAGCTAGTTTGCTCTACTACATTTTCACCTGTTTCTACTATATTTTCACCTGTTTCTGATGCCATTAAAGAATGTGTTAAGGAACACTGGCGTATTATGTCCAGCAACCCTCAAGTTGGCCATATTTTTAATGACCTTCCTGTTGTTGCCTAGAAAAGGGCTAGAAATTTAACAGATTCGCTTCTTAGAGCTGACTGTTAGATGCACCCTCAGCATTTTGTGTCCAATGTACCATGTGGCAATTTTCCCTGTTTAAGCTGTATCCAATGTAATGCAATGATCAAGGGTGATTGCTTTTCACATCCACATTCAGGTAAAGAGTTTTGTATTAAAAGTAGGATTACGTGCAAAACTAAATATGTGGTTTATCTTTTGAAATGCCTGTGTGGATTGTGTTATGTTGGCAAGACTAAAAGAGAACTGAAAACCTGTATATTGGAGCACATAAGCAGCATTAGGACAAGAGATGTAAAATCTTCAGTAGCCAGACATTTTAATGCTGTTGGCCATGATGTATGCTCTCTTAGATTCCAAGAAATAGAGGAGATTAGGCCTCTAAAAAGAGGTGGGGACAAGGATAGGTCTCTTTTGCAGAGAGAAGCCTTCTGGATCCATACTCTGCAGACAGAACAGACTAAGGGTCTTAATGAAGAGCTACTTTTGGGATGTTTTTAATGATCTGCAGGTAATTGTTTTCTTTTCAGCTGCTTTTTGTGGCTGTTTTGGCTCTAAGATGGGTAGATATGGATGATCGATAGGACTTGTTCTTTTGAATATTGTGTATATTTCTTGTGGATGTTAACATTTCTATTACATGTATTTTCTTCCGATTTGCTGTTGATTGAATTGTCCGACGTTGTTTGGTACGTATATTCATTCTAAAATTGATATGTTTTTCTATATTGTTGATGTACCTAGATGTTTGACTTTGATGCTGAAACTGAGCGGTAGACTATTTATGGGATTAGTAATTTTAGCTGATTATTTGTCACACCCGATACATGTATTTATGTGTTATTTCCGCCTGTCGTTCGGTACATACATTCTAATATTGATATGTTTAGAGGTCTTTTCATGACATTATTTATTTACCTGGGACTCTGACATTGAGACTGAACGTTTAGCTGTTTCTACAACTTGTAACCTCAGCTGATTGATTGGATGTAATTTGACACACCTGTTGTGTGTATATATATATATGTGTCATTGCCGCCTGTGGTCACAATGCTGATGAAGGCTTACGGCTGAAACGTGTCCGTTGTTTTTTGCTCTGCTGCCTAGATTAAATGATCTTTAAAAGGACATTTGTGGGTGCTGGCCTCCTTTGATATTTTTTAGGTGTCACAATACCACACCAGTACTGTTCATATTTTTCATTTGTTTTATTTAAAAAAATATAAAAAATATATTTTTGTTCTTAACCACGGCCCGCCCACTTGTTGTTTGTTTTCACCCGTGCCTGTACCCATGGGTACCCGACCAGGTGCAGGACTCTGATGCATACCAATGTGCATCTTTCCTCTCTCACATTCTCCGCTCAGCTCCGTCCCACTCATTCACTCATTAGTTCTCCAACAACACTAAGGGAAACACAGGGCTGCTACACTGTTTAATCTGTCTGTCAATTAGTCTACAGTGCGATATTGGCCTATATGTTGCACGTGCTACACTAAATCAGTCTGTGAGATTAATTAAATGTGTGCAGTAGCACATGTACAATACTGTGGGCCGCACCAGAGATGGATCTTCTTCAGTGCAGGTCCAAAAGGCAGACCACCCACCCTTTAAGAGGGTAACGGTGATGTCTTGTCTGCCGCACGCAACCCCTGACGACCCCCAAAACAAGCCTGTGGGTTGCGACACTGACCTAACCTTTGTCTGCAGGAGACCAGAAAGAGAGCTGTTTTTAAAAGTCTCTGTGTGTTCAGCTTTTTTGGTGTTTCACAGTAAAAGTTTTTACATTACAAAATAACAGGTGACTTTTATTGTGAAAAATCTAGAGAAAATGAAATGTGTTTATTACTGAATTACCAGAACTTTGTTAGCAACTTTTCTTCAATAAAGGCAAGTCTAATAATATCACCGGAGGAAGAGTAAAATCAGAAACAGTCACAGTGAGATGTTAGATTTAGAGCTGCAGTTCACCTCCAACAGGTAAGCTTCTTACACCTGCCCTGCTGTCTGAAGGAAAAAATGCAAGCAGCAAAAATAACAGAAGACATTAGCCATGGATCAACTTGCAACTGAACGTGTAGCCCATTTCGTAGAAAATACAGAGATATATATCATGTATCCCTATTCAGTCCGAAAAACTGAGATATGAATTTTTGTCCATATTGCCCAGTCCTAACGATAATATTGGTACATCAACGGTATCATTCGATAATGGTTTTAAATTACCAGAATCGGCCAGCATGCTTTTTCCTATTTTGCACAATGAATGATTATTACATACATTGAAAAGTACTGTATTTCATATCTCCATCTGCTGGTGGGCCAACACAATAAGGGGATGCATGCATAATATTAGGGCTACCCCCAACTAAGAATTTCCACAGTTTGCTTGCATGTTAATCTAATTATTCATTTATATTATATTTGGGGCGGAGCAACACAATGATTTGAGTTCAAGGTCTGAGAACACTGTGCTACATTACAAATCAAAGACAAATACAAAACCATACTAATGAACATTAATTAATATAGGCCGATATCTACAAGTGCACATCACACACTATGCGAGAAACCTGTTAATTGCACTGTCAGCAAAGCAGTAATGATTGTGCTTAGTGGCTAATGGGCATGTAGCTACTTCCATGTTTCAGATGATACATCATGTTGTAGTCAATGAATCTTGCCGACTGATGACCTTTCTGGTCGACTAACGTTTGGTCGACTATAAGGGGGCAGCCCTACATAATACGATGTTAATTCCACTGCAAAACAGACTTGATGATCACTAAAATTAGGTATGGAGAAAAGTGGATATGTTGATATCAGTTATCGGCCAAATACGCTGTTACGTATGGCCATATTGGATATCAGCAAAAAATCCAATATTGTGCACCCCTAGTAATCTGCAAAAGACCTTAAACTATGTACTCCTTAGCATATTTATTTTCATGTACTTTAACTTTTAGCTATTTTACATTGCTGTTACTGTTTGTTATTTTGTATTATAATTTTCTATTTTAGCGATCAAGGGCAGCCATTACTTTAATGGGACTGAGTTGGAAGACAGTTTTGTAGCTCGACATGCTTCTCACCTGTATCTTTCTTCTTCTCGTGGTATGTGTAGACAGCTCCGGCCGTGCAGTTCTTTCCGTGGCGGGTCATTGTTCTTCTGCTGTCATTTGCTAATGCAGAAAATGTTTGAACGACAAAATAAGGTGTTAGCGTTAGCTGGGAGCAATGCTAAGATGCTAACTTAGCAGCTAAATGTAAACATACAAAACACGTGCCCAGATTAATGTGTTCAGAAAACGTTACATTACAAAGAGCCCAGAAACTAGCTGTGGCTATAGAGCAGCTCATCATTTGCAGAGCTGCTCAGAGAATAACTTATACCTGAGAAATGAAATGACACAAAATGTGAGTTCAGCTCACAAGGCCAAACACCAAACCATCACTTCTTCTTCTTCTGTTAAATTTCCTTCTTCTTCTCTGGGGTTTAACGGCAGCTTGCATCCTTAGCGTTGCATTACCGCCATCTTCTGGAGTTATTTGACTCCTATATTATCCAGTGTCTCATATCTTCCATATCAGTCCAGTTCTTTTTAAAAAGCATATCAAACACTTTCTGCCTTTCCCAGTTTCACCACACGCCAGTATGTCCTTTAAGCTTGATCCTGTGAGTCCTTCTCTCCTCATCTCCTCCAAGCATTTCTTTCCGTTCCTCTCTGTATTTGTTGCAGTTGGTAATCACATGTTCCACTGTTTCTGATGTCTGACAACAGTCACATAATCCATTTACATGTTTCCCGATAATGTGAAGTGCCCCATTCAGGTTACTATGTCCAATTCTCAGCCTTGTCATCACTGTCTCCTCTCTCCTGTTTCCTCCCCTGCTTCTCCCAGCGCCCACTCTCTTCTGTAGTGCATATAGATGTCTCCCTCTCACCTCCTGCTCCCAGTGTTGCTGCCATTTTTCATTTGTTTTCTTCCATACAATGTTCTTTCCTTTCAGTTTTGATAACTTGATCATGGTATCTACATTTTTCTTTTTTAACTGCTTGCTTGGCTATAAGATCAACTTTCTCATTACCCACAATGCCCATATGTGCTGGAACCCAAATAAATTTAACTACTATACCTTGTCTTATTATTCTTGAATGCATTTTCAGTATTTCATACAATATATCTTGTCGATTTGTGGAAGTACCTCGCTTTAAACTCCACAAAGCAGATGCTGAGTCACTACATATAAGCACATGGTTTGGTCTGGCTTGCTCTATCCACTCTAGCGCCATCACAATAGCAAACAGTTCAACTGTATACACACTTAAATAATTTGACATTCTTTTACCCATTTCCACTCTTCTACTAGGAACTGCAACAGCAGCCCCAGTGCTGCCTGTTGATGGATTTTTTGAACCATCTGTAAATACATGAATATAACCCATATAACTACTTTCTGTATATCTATGAAATTCATGTACACAATCTACATTTTTATTTCTTGCTTTAACCTGAAGCAGCTCTAAATCCACCTTCAGTCCCTCTAACATCCACACAGGGGTTGTAGGCCACAATACTGTTGGGCAGAACTCCATTTCATACACCCCCAGGTCTCTTGCTGTTTGATCTCATGTCCATCCAAAACTTAAATTCATTGTTCTCTCCCTTTCCCAACATTGTTCTAACACTTTTCTGGTTGGGTGATTTTGTTCATGTCCTCTTAAATTCATCCAATAATTAGCTCTTAGCTGCTTCCTACGTAAAGACAGTGGCATTTCTCCTGCTTCAACTTGCAAGGCACACACAGGTGATGTTCTTGTTGCCCCAACACACAGCCTAAGAGCCCGAGCCTGGATCACATCTAATACTGCCAATGCAGTTCTTGCAGCAGAACCATACACTACACTTCCATAATCCATCCTTGATCTAATTAATGCAACGTAAATATATTTCAAGGATGCCACATCTGCTCCCCAGTCCAAACCCACAAGGCATCTCATTACATTTATAACTTTTTTACATTTGTCAGCAATATTTTTAATATGTTCCCTCCATGTTAGTCTGGTATCAAAATATACGCCATAGAATCTAAATGATTTAACTCTTTCTAAATTATTACCATACAGTTTCAAAATAGTATTTTCTTGAATCCTCTTTCTGGTGAAAAACATAACCTTTGTTTCCTCAACTGAAAACTTAAAAGCCCATTTATTTCCCCAGTTCTCAACTTGATTTATTCCTTCCTTCAACTTCCTTACAACATGGTTTATATTTCTCCCTCTCTTCCACATAGTCCCATCATCTGCAAATAATGATCTTCCCATATCTACTGTTACATTTTCAAATATGTCATATATCATAATAGAGAATAATATAGGACTAATCACACTCCCATGTGGTGTTCCATTTTCTATCTCATACTTATTAGAGATTTCTGACCCTATTTTCACCTGTATGGTTCTCTTATTCAAAAAGCCCATTACCCAATTAAAAACTCTGCTCCCAATTCCCATTTTATGTAACTTTATCAAAAGCCCCTCCTTCCATAACATATCATATGCTTTTTCAACATCAAAGAACACTGCTGCTGCTATTTCTTTATTGATTTGTGCTTTCCTTATTTCATCCTCTAAACTCACAATTGGATCCAAAGTACTCCTCCCTTTCCTAAATCCACTTTGACATCCTGCAATTAAACCACGTTTCTCTAAAAAATACATCAGTCTTTCATTTACCATTCTCTCCATAAGTTTGCAGGTATTAGATGTTAATGCTATTGGTCTGTAACTTGTTGGTTTACTAGCATCTTTCCCTGGTTTCCTTATGGGAACAATGACTGCCTCCTTCCAACTCTCTGGCATTTTATCTTCCTCCCACACCTTGTTATACAATAACAACTTTTCCAAACATTCTTCACTTAAGTGCTTTATCATCACGTAACATATCTCGTCCTTCCCTGGTGCAGTCATACGAGCTTTATCCAGTGCCCTTTTTAACTCTCCCTTATTAAACGGTACACTCTGCTCATCTCCGGTATCATCTGTTTCCTTTCTCCTTAAGGCCTCCATGTTTTCAAACTTTGTTTTCTCCCTACCCCTTTTTCCCTCTTCAGACAAATTGCTTGAACTATGTACCTTCACAAACGTGTTGGCCAACATCTCAGCTTTTTTCTTTATTCGTTACTGCTATTTCATTGTCATCTGTTAACACAGGATAACTCCAGTCCCTTCTATCTCCTCTCATCTTTCTTATCATCCCTCACACCTCTCCCACTGGGGTTGTGTTCCCAATGGAGTCACAAAACTTCCTCCAGTACATTCTTTTTGCCTGAGCTTTTTTATATTCTATCATATGTTGAAAGTTATGAGTTCTTTTCAATATCTTAAATGCCTTGTTTCTATTTTTAACAGCTTCTTTACATTTCTCATCCCACCATGGAACAGCCCTCTTCTTTACTTCACCTTTACTCTTAGGAATAGATCTCATTGCAGCTACTCTAATACCACTACCTATTTCCTTATCCAAAGTTTCTATGTTCATAATCAGCATTAATCTGGCTCAGATACTGATCACTTACTTCTTTAAACTTCTCCCACTCAGCTTTCCCAAACACCCATTTTCCGCCCCTGGCCCCTTCATTCATTTCTGCATTAATGTTTATCTTACATAAAACCGGATAATGATCACTACCAATGGTTCCCTCATTATACACTTTCCAATCACACCTGGGAGCAATATTATTTGATACCATTGTAAGGTCCAGACTTGATTCCTTTCCTGTGTTTACATCTATTCTTGTTTTGCTACCATCATTTAAGCAGATTAGACTCCTCTCATCTAACATTTCCTCCATCACCTGGCCATTAACATCAGTTTTTTCACTCCCCCATAATGTGTTATGTGCATTGAAGTCCCCACACCACACAATGCTTGCTCTGTTTTGTCCTTCTATTTCTTCTAGCTTATTTAGTTCTAGTTTCTTACAGGGATTATAATAATTTACCACCACTATTTCCTTTCTTCCCGCCCATACTTCCACCACTATATACTCCAGTTCTTTTCCAATACCCAACACTCTATAAGGAATACTTTGTTTTATAAATGTTACACAGCCTCCTCCTACCCCATCTTTCCTATCCCTCCTAACTGCCACATATCCATGCATGACGAAATCTAAATTGGGTTTCAGCCATGACTCCTGAATACATAATATATCTGGTTTCTCCCTCCTACTGCCTATAAATTGCTTAAAGTCCTGTCCATTAGCTATCAGACTCCGAGTATTAAAATGATGATTAGTATTAACCCACACATGATGCCTCACTACTTGCTTTTTCACTGAGACTGTCTCTCACTTCCTCCCATTTCAAACCCTTCATTTCAAGATGATGCACAGCTGCTTTCACAATTATCTGAATCCTGTCAGTTTTGGATTTGACCTCCGCTGTGGCATTTATCAGTCCTGCTATAAATGTCACCATTCTCTTCTTTTCTTCCCACTTCTTCCTTCTATCCTCCTGCTCTGTATTCACTGTAATTTTCCCTTCATTTTGCCCATATGCTCTGCTCTGTTTCCCTGGTCCAGCCCTCTTAACTGCCTCTGCATAAGAGACTTTTTCCTTCACTCTTATCTGTTGCACTTCCACCTCCCTTCTCAACACTTCGCATCCCCAATAAGCCACACTGTGATTTCCTCCACAGTTACAGCACTTGGGTTTACCTTTACACACCATAGCCACATGCCCAAATTCCTGGCAATTAAAACATCTCATTGGCTTTGGAATGAACTCCCTAACTCTGTATTTCATGAATCCACAGCGTAGCTCACTTGGAATAACCTTTGTTTTAAATTCTATCACGATGGTCTCAGTCTCTTTCTTCTCTGCTCCCCTAGTCATTCTTTTAGCACTTTTGATTAGACTGTTATGCTCCCCCAAGTTCTCCACCAAATCCTTCATGCTGACTGAAAGAGGTATTCCAGAAATCACCCCCTTACATCCCTCAGCCCTCTTCTCTCCCACTCTTATTACTCTGGATACTTTAACTTTTCCAACATTATTCATTTTCTTTGCCTTTTCCATCTGCACTTGATTACTGCATCCTATCAGCAAGTTTCCATCACTCAAAACTCTCGCATACTTCACGTCTCCGACTTGTCCTTTGATGATTTTTGTTAGTTTCAATGGATCAATTTTCTTTACTCCTCCCTCTCCCTCAAACCTCACTACTACAACGATTAGTCCTACTCCTGCTTTTGATCCCTCCTCCTCCTCCTCACTCTCACTCCTCTCACTCTCTGTTCCACCTGAGCTTTGATTTTCTTTCCTTCTCTTATGGCGACTCTTCCTTTCTCCCCTCTCTTTCGCAACCTCCCAACCATCCTCTCCCTTACTGAATTACATGTTGTCCTTCTCTGTCTCCCTGTCTGACATCCTGTCAAATTTTGCAAGGAGGAACAGTGCAAGAATACCGTTCCGGACCTATATTCCTACAAAATCCCCCCCGCAACTAATTCTAATTCTACCAAGTCCCAGTGTCCGCAAATCCGAAGTCAAAGTTGTTATTCAGTCATACATACATTCAAAAAAACAGTCCGCAAATTCACCGTAACAAAATTCAAACCTCCCGCAACTCTCTCCAACCACCCCGGCGGCACCAGAGCAGCACGGCGTCGTTAAATTTCCAGCAGACTAGGCACAGTTTAGTGCATTGCTGCCTCACTCTGGAGTCTATTCATCATTGCAGCTTGTACGGCTGCAGACTGGAGCCTCTCGTCTCGTCTCATGACCTCTCGTTTCATGACTTGGGCGTGTACAACAGCAAGTCTACAGTGTCAAAAATGTGAATTCGCGATTTCTTGACACTCTTGCCACCAATAGGCTAAATCAAACCGAGAGAAGAATAAGAAGATGGCAGCAGCGTTACAGGTAAATTTCCAAAGAGACCAGGTTTTTTTTTTACTATCCATTTAAAAAAATAAAACGGTTAAACTCTTAACTTTACAATTTTAACCATCCGGATAGTTTGTAATGTTGCATTTGAAACGTAAGATGATACTATGTGTCCCTTGGGTTAACACATACATCTTTATTTGAAGAAACGTTAGCGTTTACCGTTTTTTTTTTTAGCTAATACCTAAGGTTATGTACTCTGTACAAAACTGCGCTCAGTGCAACTGCACTGATGCAACCGGGAGCCGCGAAACAAGCTAAAATGGTAACAGGGGCAAATGCGTCCCGTATAAGTTTGTGCATTAAAAGTGCTTTTTTCGCCACTGACCGGTTCAGATCGCCAGTGCTATCTCTGTAAATAGCATACTAGCCTTTCCCCTACCTCTGGGCTGTGTGATGTCACAAGCTTTGCTCCACTCTGTCTGTAGCTCTCTCTACTCGTGGGACAGCTGTTTTCTTGAGGAAGCGGTGTTTCGGGATTGGATGTCTTCTCTTCTTCGGCTGGCAGTAGTCATCTTGGGAGAAGTGAGCACTGCAGACCCGATGGTCTGCAAGGTGCAGGGTCTGGACTTCTAGCGTAACTACACACTTCATACACACATACTCACTTACAGTACCCAGCGGGGCAGACCTCCCTCTCTCTGCTCCAACACTGACTGGCAGCTGACTCCACTCATACCACACTCAGGGCCGCTACAACATGCTATCTACAGAGATAGCACTGGCGATCTGAACCGGTCAGTGGCGAAAAAAAACACTTTTAATGCGCAAACTTATACAGGACGCATTTCCCCCCCGTTACCATTTTAGCTCGTTTCGCGGCTCCAGGCTGCATCCGCCTCCCTCAATACTGAACCAATTTTAGAACGAGTGGTACCCATGAATCATACGCACACATACACATGGGGAAATAGAGCCCAGGTTGAAAAATACCAGTTATCCTTTAACCCCTGTCTGCCCTGTCTTCTTTCTTCCAAATATCACAGTTAGACTTAGCCACAGACAACCTAAACCCCCACTTATCAGCCCAACCCTGCACCTTATCCAAGGCTCTCTGCATATCTTTAATCAAATACTCCACATTATGCCATCACTTCCAAACTACTTCATCAAACATGCACCCATCTCTCCCTTTAAAGCCCTAGCAAGCCGCATAGGATTGAAAGACCCAAACCCTGACTGCTCCCCCTTTAGATTAAAGATAACTTTAAACTCTTCTGTGTGACTACTGTCCCTTCTCATTGTCTTTGCAACTACCCGCTGCTCTTCCCACTCATTCTTATCCTTACACTTTGAGCTAGATCTTTTCCTATTATTTTTTTCCCTTGGGAGTCTCCCATCTCCCTCCTTCTTCGTCATCCATTTCATAATACAGTCAGCAGTTCACTTCCTTTGCTTAAAGTTATGCAATCTCATACCGATTACTGTTAATTTATTATGCTGCTCTGTTCTGTATGACATCTATTGCACATCTGTCCATCCTGGAAGAGGGATCCCTCCGCAGTTGCTCTTCCTGAGGTTTCTACCGTTTTTTTCCCCCGTTAAAGGGTTTTTTGGGGGGAGTTTTTCCTTATCCGCTGTGAGGGTCCTAAGGACAGAGGGATATCGTATGCTGTAAAGCCCTGTGAGGCAAATTGTGATTTGTGATATTGGGCTTTATAAATAAAATTGATTGATTGATTGATTGATCACAAATGGACAGACCGCAAACACTTCCACGTGCAGGCTTGCTCCTCAGTCCTCCACTCCACAACCGGATGACACTCGACACAACTTCTTCTTCGTTGGTTGCCTTTTTCTTCTCCTGCTTCCGCATGAAGTTTCAAGTTTCAAGTTTATTCACACGTCAACAAAAAGTACAGCTGCACACACATCAGCACCAGGGTATACCAAAGTATACCCCACGACATGTGAAAAGGGGCACCCCATAGAAGCTACTTAAAGCTTATTGGGAGGGGGCCCAGGACATTTAACATATAACAGCAAGGGACAAAAACAACACAACATACGATACACAAAACAGTTAACAAAATACAGACAAACCTAAACAAAAAAAAAAAAACAGGACATTGATCCCAGAGAGATCAGGCGGTTTTGAGGTGAGCATCAAGCTGGTTCCAAATCTGTGGACCATAACACACAACACTTAGGTTAGTAGTTTTAAGCCTTCGCTTTTTCCCAGTTATAATGTGTTTATTCCTGGTGTGTGTATGTAGAGGGTTGCTAACTGGAATAAGCTCACAGGGTTTTGAATTTAACTTGTTAATTGCTTGGTACATTGTACATGCATTTTGATAGGTGTTGAATTCGGGAAGCCTTAGTATTCCATGGCGACGGAAGAGCGGACTAGTGGGAGCATTGAATTCAGACCAGGAGAGGGCACGTACCACTTTCTTTTGCAGGACTTGGAGTGTTTTTTGTGTGGCTAGGAAACGTGTTGCACCAGATGACATTACAATAATACAGGTGAGGTTCAAATAAGGTTTTGTATAATGTAAGAAGCGTTGAGGATGGGAGAAAATATCTCAGTTTAGTGAAGACCCCCACATATTTAGAAAGTTTTTTCACAAGGGCCTCAATATGACTTTTAAAATTTAAAGATTCATCAAGGCTTATTCCCAGAAATTTAGTGGTGCTTACTCTACATATTGCCTGTCCATCAATTTCAAGGTGTATGTGCTCAGCATAGTCCCGTTTTTGGTGAGTGCGAAAGATCATGTAATTTGTTTTACTGGCATTTAAGGAGAATTTATTACATTTAAACCACTTGTCAATTTCAAAAAGTTCTTTATTTAGAAGTCGTTCAAGTTCAAATGGGCTCTCGTGGGCCAAGAGCAGGTTTGTATCGTCTGCAAACAAAACTTTGTGGAGCACATTCGAGGAATTAACAAAATCATTAATGTACAGTATAAAGAGAAGTGGTCCCAAAATGGACCCCTGTGGAACCCCGTGCTTAAAGGGATAGTGCACCCAAAAATGAAAATTCAGCCATTATCTACTCACCCATATGCCGACGGAGGCTCTGGTGAAGTTTTAGAGTCCTCACATCCCTTGCGGAGATCGGCGGGGGGAGCGGCTAGCACACCTAATGGCTGACGGCGCCCCAGGCTAACGTCCAAGAACACAAAATTGAAACCACAAAATTCAACATGATCATCCGTAGTGATCCAAGTGTCCTGAAGACCCGACATAAAAAGTTGTTTTGAAAAACGTCAAATGAACTGTTTTTAGCCTCACTGTAGCCTGTAGCTCTGACTGCTTGTCTGTGCTCCGCGCTCACGTGTGCGCGCTTGCGCGAGACCAGTGAAAGCATGAGCTTTGCTTACCCGTGTTTACATCACGTGACACGTGCACCGCAGGGGGAAACAACAGTAACCACAGTAGCTAAAAGATAATTTGCACTACGGTCTTTCAGCAAAGGACAACCCAACATGTCTGAAGACTTTGAAATTGAGGAGGAACAGCATTTCTTTGTTGAGCCGTATTTGTTTGAGTCTGAGTATACGGACGCGGAACTCGCGGCTACTGGACGAAGCAGCCGTCGCAGTTCTTGAGCCTCAGCCAGCCGCAGAATACTGGAGTCGAGCACTGGAAACCTGGTGGTGTAGTTGTTTCAAATGTAAAGCAATGCCAGCGGATGAGGAAAGTCTTTGCTGCTCAGACTGGGAATTGGCGATGCCTGCACTTGAGAATCTGGACATCAGTACTGACAAGACTGCTGCTCTTCAGAGACCGTGCATCACCGATCACCCTGAGCGCGCACATGTGAGCGCAGAGCACAGAGAAGCAGTCAGAGCTACAGACTACAATGAAGCTAAAAACAGAGTTCATATGACGTTTTTCGAAACAACTTTTTATGTCGGGGCTTCAGGACACTTGGATCACTACAGATGATCATGTTGGAGATATTTTGTGATTTCAATTTTGTGTTCTTGGACGTTAGTCTGGGCGCCGTCAGCCATTAGGTGTGCTAGCCACTGCCCCCGCCGATCTCCGCAAGGGATGTGAGGACTCTAAAACTTCACCAGGGCCTCCGTAGGCATATGGGTGAGTAGATAATGGCTGAATTTTCATTTTTGGGTGCACTATCCCTTTAATAGGTCTATGTAATGATTTGCGGTCTTTCACATAGACGTATTTGTAACCCTTGTTATAATATAATAACAAAGCACAAGTAATTAATAAACTGTAATGAGGAATGGACCAGTAACAGAAGAATTTAGATTTGTAAGAGCCCTTGGTATTGAATTCAGAAGACACAAACAACAATGGTTTGAGGTTTTGTGTGTAACTTGTTATTATATAATAATAACACAATGAAAACACAACAATTTATTGTAAACAGTAATTGAAAAATAACAAACTAAAATAATAAAGCCGGCAAAAATAAAACCCTTTTTCCCAGAGTCAGTGTTGGGGCCCTTGTTGCTTTCTTCTATTTTTTTCCTTCTTCACTCAGTGTCAACGTATCAGTGTAAGTGTTTGTCCTACCACACCGTCCGTGCAACAGGAAGATCAGGAGTCCGTCACGATTCTCCAATTCGATACCAGTAGTTCAATGCGGCTCGCCACCCAGCTCACACTGGGAATCCTGAAATCTTGGGATCTGGAACAATCCCTGGAAGCCTCCCACGAATCCAACAGGAAGCGTTGCAATGGATGGTGGAACGTGGATGCAACCTCTTCTAACGACGTCATCCAACAAAAAACCTGACCTATGAGCAGGTCAAAGGAAATCCAAGTATATTGTTATATTCAAAATCATGTTCATTTTCTAATTCTTCATGTATTATTATCAACCAATAGCACTCACTTGCATTACTGGCTTAATCATGTTCTCAAAAAGTTTAGTTGTACAACAAAAATCTAGTTCCAGTTCAAGTTCTCATCTGCAGCTGTGAAACCACAAATGCATTCAAAATACTTCTTACAATCATGTTCTAATATTCAATTTACAACATTAACCATTTCAAAATGATAAATTATTATGATTATGTCGATAAACAATCAAAAAAGAGCAGTTTCCAGAAATAAAAAAAAGATCACATAGTGCACCTTTAAGTTGATGAACAAATACATTCAGAACAGTAACTATTGTAGTAATCTTTGAGGTAATATGGCTCAATGTGCTTAATTTTCTCCCCCCTGCACCGGTAACAGTGAGAGATTGCACTAAAAATTAACCTCTTTTATCACCACAATCAGAAATGAACACAATCAGATGAAACGCACCAATATCTTTTTTCTTTCTCAACATATAGTAAACAGTTTAGAAGAACATCCTCCTCTGTAAACATATCATCAATGAGCATTTCAATAAATCGCACATGAGACCAAGCAATCATAGCCGCTAAATGGCTACGCCCAAGCTAGTAGGCCGCTAGCATCGCAAAACAGCGTTTCGAGCAATTAGCATCATTAACACTTTTTCCCGTGGCTCTCCGTGCCAATACACATGAGTAACAGCCACTTTAAAACTCATTCATATTTAGACATGAGTATCAGCTGCCTTAAAACAGTTTAAAAGAACTTTTTTCACTCACCGCTGAATCACTATGTGCACGGGCTTTACAAAGTTTCACCCCACCAGGTCGGCACAACCACTTTGACTCTCGCGCTGCTCTACAAAGTGAAACGTGAGCATTTACAGCAATCATACATTATCCGAAGTAAACACAGCTTCATTTAAGATATTTTTCTAGCATCTTACCCGGTAAATCACCACTCATTTCAATAGTTTTCCTTCTCTGAGCTCGCACGAGACCGCAGCATGAACATGCTCTGAAGCAGGATGTCACGACAGGATGTCAGACTACCGAGCTGATCACCTGGGGCTCACACAGCTCGCTGATTGGCTAGGTGGGGAAACCCCGTGCTAGACTGCATTTGGTCATGTACAAAACATTTTTTTCTTCTTTTCTCCATTTTAACACTTCTAAGACACTTTGAACAGTTTTTATGCATATAAATAAACTTCCATGAATTATTTATGTATTTCAAAATAAAATGAATTATTTTACAGATTCTTAGTAACTGCTTAATGAATTGTTCATCCCATAATTAAAATGAATTACGTTACGGGAGAATTTTAACAAAACAAAAGAGAATGTCATTTCAGGACCTGGGTTACACCCTCCCAGCCTGAACTCATGTACGTCTCTGTCCATGGCAGCAGTCATGTCAATCATCTAGATGGGCATAACATGTGGGTATGGGGAGTTCTCTTCTTCAGCCAAGGCATCGGCCAGTGCTATGGTCAGTCCATGGAAAAAGGATTTGACAGCTGTGACCAATGGTTTCCCGAATTCAACGTAATCAAGCCGCTTTGGCGGTTGCCGTGTCCTGTCCAATCTCCTGACAGAGGTATCCATTCCTGTCTGTCTCTCTGTCTCCTCTTCATCTTCCATTTGCATTTCATTTAACTCATCCATTTTTTTCTCCTCAAACTCTCCACTCCCAGTCTCATCCATCTCCTCATTACTCTCTAACCCATGAGAGGGTGCTGGAAACTGTTCATCCTGAACATCATTGACATCTTCAAGTAAGTTTCCTCTTTCTACAGGGCATACTTTTTCAGGTAAGTCACATTCAGTTTCTTCTGTTCGGGGTGTCTGTTCAGGTAAGTTGACTCTTTCAGGTAAGTGGACTATTTCAGGTAGGTTGACAGTTTCAGGTAAGTTCTGCATGGACAGCTCTTCTCTGCTCTCAGCAGGGAGCTTACACGCTGGAGAATCAGAGAAAACGGGAGAAGACGACACATCCAGTTCATTTGACACATTAGGACCATTTGACTGTATAATCTCACATGGAGGATTCTGCGACAGGTGAGTCATATTGACATCTGGCTCTAGTGTGTGGGAAGGAGGAAAGGTTAGTGTGGGGAAAATCTCAGAGTCAGAGTTTTCCTCCTCTTCCTCACTTTCTGTGGCTGGACACTGCCTTGTCCTGGGCTTCCTGGCTGAAAGCTGTTTGACAGGCTCACTTGTTATAGCTGCAGGCAGAAAGCCGCAAGGAAGGAGCAGGTCGCGATGTAAGGTGTGCACTGGCCCACTCTTGCCCTCAGGCTTAACAGTGTACACAGGCATGTCACCAGCTTTCTTGAGGACAACGTAGACATCATCCTCCCACTTGTTTGCTAGTTTATGCTTTCCACGCAGCTTGACATTGCGAACAAGAATCCTATCACCCACTTCCAAAGTGGATTCCACCACACGTTTGTCAAATCAAGTCTTATTGCGATCAGCATTCTTTTGCACAGTGGAGGTCGCAATCTTGTAACTCTGTTCCAGGCGACACTTTAAGTCGCTAACATACTGGGAATGAGACAGCCTGTTGGTGTTGGTGGGCAGCCCAAAGGCTAGATCAATGGGAAGCCTTGGTTGTCTCCCAAACATCAATTCATAGGGGGAGAATCCAGTTGTTTCATTTTTGGTGCAATTATAGGCATGCACGAGGGGTTTCACAAAGTCTTTCCAATGCAGTTTTTCAGGCTGACTCAGAGTCCCAAGCATTTGGAGAAGAGTACGATTGAACCTCTAAACCGGATTTCCTCGAGGATGGTATGGGGTTGTATGCACTTTTTTTATACCAGCAAGCTCGCAAAGTTCCCTGATGGTGTGCGACTCAAAGTCAGGGCCCTGGTCGCTGAGTAGTCGCTCTGGGAAGCCATAATGCACTATAAAATTATCCCAAAGGCACTTTGCTACCGTACGGGCTCGCTGGTTTGGGGTCGGTATAGCTAAGGCATACTTCGTAAAGTGATCGGTAATAACCAATACATCCTTTGTGTTGGACCGGTCTGGTTCCAATGATAAGAAGTCTATACACACGAGCTCGAGAGGCCGACAAGTCTTTATATTAACCAGCGGGGCAGCTCTCTCTGGGGGACGTTTTCGCCTGACACATCTCTCGCAAGTCTTGACCAGATTCTCAACAGCCATATACATTTTTGGCCAATAGAATCTGGCTCTTATCAGATCAACGGTCCGTTCAATGCCCATATGGCCCATATCCTTATGGAGACTCTGCAGGGCTATTGCTCTCAGCTCCTCTGGGAGCACTAGCTGAGCGGTGACATTGGGCCCATCTTGCCGCTGTCGATAGAGCACTCCATTCCGCAGCTCTAGCCGGTTGAGCTCTCGCAGCAGTAACGGAAGCTCAGGGAGCTCTGCTTTAATGCTAGGAGGTGGGGCTCTACCAGTCTCCATTTGAACAATCACTTGATTGATCGCAGGGTCTGATCTCTGCTTCTGCCTTAGTTCCTCTTCGGAAAGTGAAGGGATGAATGGGAACCCATCCACTTTCTCTTCCTGAAAACAGTCGGGAATGGCTGTGGGCTGATGAGAAAGGGACTCGACTAGTGTCAACCCAGGGTTGGAGCTTTTATCATCGGCATCTGTGACACTGGTGACCATGCGTCGATCACAGATAGCCTGGACTACATCCTGAGGAACAGTGTCAACATCACTCAGATGGTACAAAGCAAACTGACGAATCCTTTCACTTTCCTTTTGTGATGCAGGGTCGTCTTCTGGTGGACCATGCGAACGGCGGGATAAGGCGTCAGCATCCAGATTTCGCTTACCAGCTCTGTACTGCAGTCGGAAGGAGAAAGTTGAGAGACTGGACAACCACCGGTAACCTGTTGCGTCGAGCTTTGCTGAGGTTAAGAGGTAAGTCAACGGATTACTATCAGTAACCACAGTGAAGTCCGTGCCATATAAATAGTCCGAAAATTTCTCCGTGACTGCCCACTTGAGGGCCAGAAATTCGAGTTTATGGGCAGGGTACTTCTTTTCACTCTTCGAGAGCCCTCTACTGGCAAATGCAATGGCTCTCGGTTGACCACCCTGAACCTGGTACAGTGCAGCCCCAACACCAAGGATGCTGGCATCTGTATGTAGAACATACGGGAGCTGGGGGTCAGCAAAACCTAACACTGGAGCTGAAGTCAACTTTTTGATTATCAGGTCAAATGCCTCTTGACATTGGGGTGTCCATCTTTGAGCAAAAGGCTCCTTGGGGTTGTGATACTCTTGGCATGTGTTTTTTTTAGATTTTTCATTTCCCTTCCGAAGGGGTGGATACCCAGCTGTTAATTCAGTAAGGGGTCTGATGACGTGAGAGTAACCCTGAATGAACCTTCTGTAGTAACCAGCAAAACCTAAAAAGGACTGGAGTTCCTTGAGGTTAGTGGGGACAGGCCAGGTTGTCAGGGCGTTTACTTTTTCAGGGTCTGTTTCCACGCCCCTCTCGGAAACCACATGGCCAAGATATCTGACAGATGTCTGGAAAAATGTACATTTTCCTGGCGCTAACTTTAGTCCGTACTCCTTTAACCGCTGCAAGACACGCTTCAAGCGCTGTTCGTGCTCCTCCAAGAATGATGAAAAAATGATCAGGTCGTCAATGAACACTAGGACCTCCTTTAAGTTCATTTCTCCAACACACTTCTCCATCAATCGTTGGAATGTTGATGGCGCATTTGTGATGCCTTGAGGCATCCTTTGGAACTCCCAAAACCCTAGTGGGCAAACAAACGCTGTCTTCTGTTTGTCTGATTCCTCCATTTCGATCTGATAGTACCCTGATTTAAGGTCCAGAACGGAGAACCACTTCGACCCAGCAAGAGCAGAGAATGCCTCTTCAAGTTTTGGGAGAGCATAAGCATCCTTGATTGTCTGAAGGTTTAGCTTTCTGAAGTCTATGCAAAGACGAACAGAACCATCTTTCTTCCTAACAACAACGATAGGGGATGCAAACGGGGACTCAGACTCCCGTATAATCCCTGAATCAAGGAGCTCCTGAAGGTGCTTTCTCACTGCATCCACATCATGAGGGTGTATCGGACGGGGCCTGTACTTAAAAGGGGTTTCATCGCTGAGCTTGATCCGATGTTTGACTTTGTCTGTCCAAAATCCAGGTCATGATGGGAGAAGACTTCTGGCATGGAGTTCAGCATGGTCGTTACACGGTCTTTCCATTCAGAAGGTAAGGGTGAGTCTCCAAAATCAAAACTCAGTGTTGTCGGTTGGGGGGACTCCCTCTGCATGTCAGGTGGGTTTGATTCCTTTACTGTTTGTTCTTTGTGTATCACTCATGCCACAGTATTGATATCTGCCAATATTGTCTTTGATGGAATGACAATATCGTGTTCTGTTTCATTTTTTAACGCAACAGGTACATGGCAAGGCCGCTTCCTTGGCAAGCTGACCAAGATGGCTGAGACCAAGAGGCCGCTGGGCAAGGAGGAGGCTGATGGCTGTTCAACAATAACATACTTCTCAGAATGAGCACTAGAAACATTAACCCTGCCTTCAAGAATGACTGACTGTCCTGCTGGAACAACTTCAGGTGTCTTTGCAACCATCTTTGCGCAGCCAAGACTACTACTGGTAGAGCTCTCCTGACGCATACGGAGGATCTTGAGGACGGCTCTGTAACCATAAGACAATGGCTGGAAAGTGGAGTGGTTTGGGTCATCTTGAAAGTTAGCATAAAGAGCGTCAAGAGTATTGGTGCCAATAAGGACTTGTTCATGAACAGCAGAGCGGAGGTGGGGAATGACTAGGGCTAAAGTGTGGACCTCAATATCAGTCCCTACAAAGTCTTTAGGAAATGTTAAAGAGAGCTCAATATATCCTACGTAGGGGACTGATTGGCCATTGGCACCTTCCACGTCAAGAAGATCACCTAAGGGATGGATGATCAGATCTGAAAGGTGTTGCTCGTAAAAAGATTGGGGTACAGTGGTCACCTGCGAACCTGTATCTAAAAGACAACTAGTGTCTTTCCCTGCA